TGTTCCTGCCATGGCCACACCATTCCTGACCCCCTTTCCCTCTGAGGGTGAAATATTCCTGACCCTGCGCCAGCTGACAGGTCTGGCCTGAAACCCAGCAGTGTCTGGGGTCTTAAATCAGGATTTTAATTCACCAGCTTAAAAGGGGTCACAAGAACAGGTCTGGGTGAGCCATCCCTACCTCAGGGTGAGCAGTTTCGAAGTGTCCACCCAGTCCTGCCTCTGGGAATTCCATGAGATGGATGGATGGATGGATGGATGGATGGATGGATGGATGGATGGATGGATGGATGGATGGATGGATGGATGGATGGATGGATGGACCCTCCTTTGTTACCCTTGGCAAACCCTGCCGGGGATGGAAGCAGGTCCCTGACACAGCACTTCCATCAGCGACAATTCCAGTCCCACCAGAGCAAACCCTCCCGCGGTGATGCCAGCAATCCCGGCCCCTCAGCATCTCCCCCTGCCCCGGGGGAGCTCCCTCCCCTTCTGCCGCTYGCCTGGCCCGCCCCGCCGCCTCAGCTCCCCTAATGAAAAGCCAATTAAAGCGCGCCATTAAGCAGAGCCTTTTTGCTGCCTTGTCCGAGCCGATCTGTCACCGAGGGGCCGCGACGCGCGGTGGCAGCCGCTGCTAAAAATGGCTCAGATGGGCGCTAAATTATTGAAGGAGGCTCCGAGCGAGCCGGGGTCAGACGGGTGTGGCCGCCCCRTCCCTGGGGCTGCAAAGCCACCTGAGCTCCCGGCAGAAGCAGATTAACCCCTTTTTATAGCAGCTGGCAGCGGCCGGAGTTCCCTGGATGTCCGTGGAGGTGCAGGGACAGCGCGGGGGTGGCTCAGGCGCKCCCACCGAGGCGATGTCGCTTCTGTCACTTGTCTTCAGCTTCAGGTGCTCAGAGCTCCGCGCTCCCGGYGGAGCTGAGCGGCTCCAGGAGGAGGGAGGTGAAGGAAGAGAGGAAAAGATGGGGTTGAGGGATCCTGGGGGGACTTTCCTGCTGATTTATGGGAATCTGGGAGCCTGAGCAGGGTCAGTGACTCAGGGCTGAGGGCGCCGAGCTCTCCTCACTCCAAACCCCGCAGTGGGGTTTTAACTGATCCCAGAGAGGGAATGGCAGCAGGAAAACCCTGCTCTGGGGAGATAAAGGAGAAAWGAGGACGGGGAAGGGGGAGACAGAGCTGGGAGCACCAGTAGGAGCGGGGATGCTGTGAAGGGGGATTTTCCTGCTGGTGGAGATGAAGTCAGGACACCCTGCAGGGATCAAAAATAATCAGTGCCCCAAATGTCCTAAAATAATGCAGTGCCCCAAAGGTATAAAAATAATGAGCCCCAAATGTCCTGAAAATAATGCAGCGCCCCAAAGGTATAGAAATAATCAGTGTCCCAAATGTCCTGAAAATAATTCAGTGCCCCACAGGAGTCTGGCGCTCAGGGATTCTGCTGCCTTTTTAGGACTTTTTTCCTCCACTTTGTTTAAGGATGAAGGATTCCTGCCTCCAGTCCTGGCTCGTGAATCACCGCAGTGGCACAGAGGAATCTGAGCCTTGCCTGGACCCTTCTGACATCYGTGAATTAGGGGATTTTTCCTCTGGCGAATATTCCTGCCTCCACACGCAATTCCCTCTGTTATCTCTGGATAAGGAACGCTTGGAGCAGCATCAGCTCTTGGGGCAGCATCCCTGCAATGTGATGGATCACGGGATCYTCATGCCAGCACGGCCCACAATCGGTTTATTATGTTTGGGACTTTTTTAGCCGAGGAAAAATCAGGCAATGGAAACATTTGTGTCTCGTTTCCAGTTTCCACCCCTCAATCCTTAAAAATGCAAATAGAAGGAGCTTATGRGGTGTTTTGGGGCAGCACAAGGGGRTTTCAGCAGGACTGGGAGCAGACAGRATCCTCTGGAGGGGGATGAGGAGGATGAGGCACCATGGGGTGAAGGGATTTGTGTCCAAACTCAGAAAACCTGGGCCAGGAATTGATGCCAGGATCTTCCTCGTAATCACTCCGTGGAATCCCAGAGCGGACACTAACAATCCCACATAAATCCCTTCCCTGCCTCCTCTTGGGATAGGCATGAATCATCTTCCATGTAGAGGTTGATAAAAGTCTCCAGAAGCCAGAGAGGGTCCCAAATTCCTGCTCTATTCTTCTCAGAAGAGCTTGTAAAAGCTGCTTTATTAAACCTCTTGGTATTTCCAGACTTCCCACACCCCCTGGCCACTTCCATGGTGCCAGACATCCTCCCCTTCCCTGGAGATCTCATGTCCAGTTGCCTCTGGACACATCAGCAGTGTCCTGGATGGTTTCCATGATTTCCACATCAGCTCGTGGAAATATTGGCACCAGTTTGGGGGCAAATTTTGTCCCCTGTGAGCCTCAGCAATGTGAGGACAAAGCACAGTGGCAGCTGGGAAAAAGGAAAGGGAAAGGAAAAGGCAAAGGGAAAGAGACAAAAGAAGGGGAAGTGCTGTCATTGCTCCTGTCACTGGGCCTGTCCTGGGCTCCCATCCCGACTCCCCCAGCACAGCCTGAAGGGTAAATAGGTTTAAATTGGATTTTAGGAAAAAATCCTTCACCCAAGGGTTTGTCCAGCCCAGGGTGGAATCACCATTCCTGGAGCGGTTTAACAGCTGTGTGGATGTGGCACTTGGGGACATGGGTGAGTGGTGGCCTTGGCTGGGGGAATGGCCTTAAAGGGCTTTTCTAACTTTAATAAATCCATGACTCCCTAACTTTGCTCCCCATCCCTGCAGCCTTACAGCTCCTGCTCCAGGCAGGGTTTCCACTGCTGGGCAGAGCCTTTTCCATGGGGAATCTCCAACAAATTCCCTGGGCAGCCTTACTGTGAAGCCTTCCAGAGGCATTATCCAATCCAGCTGATTTTTTGGCTCAATTTCTAAGGAAACCAGATTAATGTGATGGGAGCTGTGTGTGAGACAGTTAGTCCCTGCCTCTTCCTCCTCCCAATATTTGGGGTTCTTTGGGCAATTCCAACCAAATTTTATGGAATACTTCGAAGACAGAGTCAGGAAAACAGGACTGGACAGAGGAGAAACTTTGTGGAAGGACTTCCATCCAAACCCACCATCCCAGTGCCTTGTGGTTTGCGGGMCATTGAATGACAACCATTCCCAGTGGGAATACCAGGGGTTTTAGGGATTCACAGCCCACAAGAACTGGATCATTAACTTGGATCATGTTTGGGGTCACAGCATCCTCCAGAGACAGGGAGCTGTGAGCTGACAGAGCTGAACACTCCCTGGGGATTCTCTGATGAACTCTCACTCACATTGGATCAGACCTCCAGAAGAATGGGATGAAACCACATTGGATTTCATCCCAATCCCAACCATCAAACAGGCTCACAGTGGCTAAACTTTCCCCCAGGCCAATTTCAAAGACAATTCAAGTACCTACCTAGCAAATCTCCATCCATCCATCCATCCATCCATCCATCCATCCATCCATCCATCCATCCATCCATCCATCCCAAATCCATCCACCCATCCATCCATCCATCCATCCATCCATCCATCCATCCATCCATCCCTCCATCCATCCATCCATCCATCCATCCATCCATCCATCCATCCATCCATCCATCCATCCATCCATCCATCCATCCATCCATCCATCCATCCATCC